GAGGAAACTGGTTCGGAGGAGGGGAGAGAGAAATTGAAGAAGTTGCCTACTTCAAAGATTAAGGAAATGTGTGCAATGTGGCTTAAAGTGCAAACCTTTTTTGATGACAATCACCCTCACACAGCTATTGCAAGCCGTGCTGGTGGCTATTACACTGACACTGTTGTGAAACACTTTAGGGATGTCATAAAGGAACGAGAGGTACAGGCCACTATGGACAGATATGTTGTGCGACAGAAGTCCAGTGACTCTGAAGCTGGTCCTAGTGGCATTAAAAGAAGAAGGGAAGTAACCCCAGAAAAGGACTTGACACCTCAAGTCTTAATGGAAGGGGATTCCCCTTGTAAACACTAAGACTCTCTCCTCCTCCCATCCCATCAGTCATCACCAGATCTTCAATAAAGGTAAGTGTCATGTAACTGTGCATGCCTTTTTCAGTTTGTGTGTTTTAAAATTAATATTTCATGTGGTAAAAATTTTTTTTTTCATACTTTGGGGTGTCTTGCACGGATTAATTTGATTTCCATTATTTCTTATGGGGAAAATTCATTCGCATAACGATAATTTCGCATAACAGTGAGCTCTCAGGAACGGATTAATATCATTATGCGGGGGTCCACTGTATAGGCTTTGTTTGTTTTGACTGTTAGCGTTCAAGTTAGAAAAAAATTATTTTTGCACAATTTTATGGGTCCTAGGGCTTTCCAGTTTTTACTAAATTGGGAAGATGTACAATGCTCTAGTTGACATCACATGAAAGATAAAGGCTAGGTTAATAATGACCCAGAGCATTTTAGCGATAATCTCAGTAGATTCCATAAAAAAATGTTGATTTTTTTTTTTTTTTTGGAAAAAATCATTAACAAAAAGCTGTTCACAATATGGCAAATCTTCTCTGGTGTTTGTAGAACCATCATTCCTCAATAACGTCTGCAAAAATCAATTCAATGAATATTTATCAAAAAAAAAAAAAAAAAAATGGATTGGAATGTCAATAACTTATTAATGAGTTTTTTTTATTTTTGTGTGTGTGTGAAATTCTAGGTAAGTGGCGCGCCACCTTTCAGCGTGCTACACCCCTCCTTCTTTCTCTACAGCATGTCGGCTACTGAGGGACTTATTGTATGCTCTCCTCACACTAGCAAGCACACAAGTTGCCATGTACAGTATTTACAATGAGATAATCATAAAAAAAAAAATAAAAAATAAAAAAAGCTCCTAATTACCAACATGTATTTTTCTGACAGCAGAACAAAAAAAAAAAACATTTAATGAAAAACATGCTTAGAAATATGATAGAAACAAGCTGATTACATGAAAATGTTGCCAGAATTTTGCACTATTTTTCAGTAAGAAAACATTTTTTTTCCATTATTTTTCAGTTTTAATGTCTTGATCACTGAAAAAAGGCTCGCCCCCTCCCTAAAGCTCTTGCTTCATACACGGAGGGCCCGAGTTTGATTCCCAATGGGGTGGAAACATTTCTACGTGTTTCCTTACACCTGTTGTCATGTTCACGTAGCAGCAAATAGGTACCTGGGTGTTAGTCGACTGGTGTGGTTCGCATACTGGGGGGACAAGATTGAGGATCCCAATGGAAATAAGTTAGACAGTCCTCTATGACGCACTGACATTCTTGGGTTATCTTGGGCAGCTAACCCTCCGGGGTTAAAAATCCAAAGAAAATCTTATCTCTCTTAGAATATTATGTGTGGGTGGGGTGGCCTGGTATGGTAGCCTGGCTGGCTACCATACATATCACACTTCATTTCTTACAATAAATACTACTCATCTTGCCCTACATTAAGGCTACAAATATTTTAAGGCAAGTAGTAAGTGTACTATGTGTATTTTATAGTTTTTTATTGTTTTTTAATGCCTAGTTCTATTGCTAACTTAATACAGTGGAACCTCGTTTTTCAGCCATAATCCGTTCCAGAAGGTTGGCCTAAATTCGAAAAGGCCTAAATTCGAAATATTTCCGTAAGAATTAATGTAAATACAATTAATCTGTTCCAGACACTTGAAAATATTCACCAAAAAATAATTTTTTAATAATTAATTATAGTTTTACATACACAAAACAATGAGAACTAAATAAAATAAATTAATAACGTTTAAATAACTATTACATACCTTTATTGAAGACTTGTTGGCTTATGGAAGACAGGGAGGGGGAGAGGGGGAGGGCAGATTATTGTTTGAAAGGGGAATCCCCCTCCATAAAGACTTTAGGTAACAAGTCCCTCTCTGGGGTTACTTCCCTTCTTTGTTTTTTAATGCCACTGGTATGAGAGTCACTGGACCCCTGTCACACAAAATAACTGTCCAGAGTGCTTTGTTTCTGGCATCTCTTTAACCTTTTCAGGGTTTCCGACATACTAGTATGGCTTACGCGCCAGGGTTTTTGACGTACTAGTACGCATAAATTCTAGCGCCCTCAAATCTAGCAAGAGAATGCTGGTAGGCCTACATATGAAAGAATGGGTCTATGTGGTCAGTGTGCGCAGTATAAAAAAAATCCTGCAGCACACAGTGCATAATGAGAAAAAAAATCTTTGACCATGTTTTTGGTTTAAAACAGCGACTTTGCACTGTAGTTTCATATGGTATTTATGGTTGTACTCTAGTTTTCCTGGTCTTATTTTATAGAATGGAAGACATACTACAGAAATTGAGACGATTTTGATTGGTTTCACAATGAAAAGTAACTTGAAATTGAGCTCAAAATAGCAGAAATGTTTGATTTTTGCCAAAGTTCAAAAGTAAACAAATCATGCCACGTGTCCAATACACATCAACTGGTGAATCTAATATTCTTTCACAAGTGCGCTGATATTATTTATACCATTTCTACACTAATACAATAGTCTGCATAACAGAATAAAAAATTCAAAGTGGAAAGCAAAAGAAATGTAAGAGTGGGCCTGGGGATGTGACTAATGAACAGAGGAAATGTTATTTTAGTGTCAGGAATGTCTTTCTTATTTATTCTGAACCCTATTTGGAAATTGGCATCTTTTGAAATTTGTGTGAAATTGGCAAAATTGCTAAATTCTGACCACTTTATTGGATAATTGAAATTGGTAAATGGGTGGCTTCTTGTACTCATTAGATAGAAAAAAAATGGAGTTCTAGCTAAATAGTTATGATTTTTGTCGACTAGTACACTGGAATTGGCCGAAAATAGGGCTCAAAGTGGGCAAAATCGCCGCTGCGTAAACATCGTCGAGACCGCTAACTTCGCAAGAGCTTAATTCCGTAAGTTTTCTATCAAATTTCATACTTTTGGTGTCATTATGATCGGGAAAAGATTCTCTATCTTTTCATAAGAAAAAAAGATTTTTTTTTTTTTTAAATTTGGCAACTCTGAGAACAAGTCTGGGAGAGGGCCTGTCGACCCTGAAAGAGTTAAGATTTCCCTAAAATGGGACAGTATTTTGTTACTGATCATGTTGCAGATATGGCTTGTTTAAGCTTGGTCAGGGTGATATTTCTCCACAAAGGTTTGCACCTCTTTCCACTTTGCACAAATGTCCTTAATCACTGAAGAAGGCACATCCTTCCCTTTCTCTTCCTCCTCCCCCTCTGAAGCAAGTTCCTTAGCTGTGGTCTATTCCTGTTACAGTTGAAAACGTTGCAGCTCTTCAGTGGTTAGCTCTTCCCTGTGGTTCTCCACCAACTCTTCCAAATCCTGGCCACTCACATCCAACCCCATGGGCTTCCCCAGCGCCACAATAGATTCCACAACAGGCAGAGGGTCGACAGGGTCAGGGTCAGGGTCAGGGTCAGCCTCAAACCTTTCAAAATCCTTCTCGAGGACTCAGTCTAGCCACAGTTGTTTCCAAGAAGAGTTCAAAGTCCTGGAAGTCACTCCCTGCCAAGCATTACCTATAAGGCTTATGCATATTGAAGTGATTCCTCCAGAACTCTCTTAGTGTCAATTCATTGTCTGAGGTCACTTCAAAGCACTTTTGAAACTGCTTTTGTGTAGAGTTTTTTGAAGTTAGAAATGATCTACTGGTCTATGGGCTGGATGAGAGGAGTGGTGTTAGGAGGCTAACGCATCTAATATGGCCAATACACGAGGCAACAGCCAAAATACGGAGTAAAATTTCTGCCGAAAAACCTGCCTAAATACGAATCAGCCGATAAACGCGGTGGCCGAAAAACAAGGTTCCACTGTATATGTTAGTGTAAACTTATCTAGTATTTATATGCATTTATAAGTAAAAAAAAAAGGGCATTCCACTTTACGGCGATTTCCACTTTACGGCAGTAGCCTGGAACCTAACCTGCCATATAAGTGGGGCCCTACTGCACATCTACTTGACAATACAAACATTTACCCAGACCTAAAGCTCTTCTTGGAGAGCTATAATAGGCATAATGCAAAAAATAAACTTCTCTTTGATACTCCGTGTTTATGGTTAAACCCATATTTAACCCTTAAATGGTCCAAACGTATATATACGTTTTTTAACATCTGAAAGTATGTAAAAAAAATATAGATCTTCTTTTTTGTTTTACATTTGAAAACGTGCAAAAAAAACTTTTACCAACATTTTTTTTTTGTTATATTTGAAAATATGTAAAAAAAAGTAGATCTACTTTTGTAGCACTACGAATTTGAACGTCGATCTGTTTGGACCGTTTAAGGGTTAAACTCTTTGCAAATAAAAGGTCCAGAAGTATGAACAAGTCTCCCTGAAGAATCTAAAAAATACAGCAGTAGCCACACTCAAAAGAAATGGTGATGAATACTGTGATACATGTCCAGTGATGCTTGATCACAAACATAATCAATACAGCCCAACTATTATATCTCTTGACTTAAAACATTAAATTCAAATACATGTTGTCTTACCATATATACTACACATACATGATTTTTGTAAACTTTTATTATTTTCTTAGCCAGTTAAAGTATTTCTTTTTTATGCATATATATCAGTGTCACTTTTTAAGTTACTGTACTTTTAGTAGCTTCTGTTTCCCAGATGATTCTGAAACCTAATGTGCGGTTTGCCCTGCAAGGTGGAGAGAGTCTGCGTTTTGGGGATGTGCAAGCCAAGTATATCATTAAACCAAAGGTAAGAAGTGTGATAAAAATATGTGAGCAGCAAATGATTAAATACAGCCTTTCCTCACCTAATGATGGAGCTCCATTCATAAGACTACATCACTAAACAAATTTGTGGCTAAGTGAGGAGCATACTATAATGGTAGTGGGTTTGTATCAACCAACTTTGATATTGTTTTAATGTCACCTTTGCACCATTTATAACATTTCTGGTATATTTTTAAATGTTTATACAGTAGTTTGCTGTATATTGTAATAAACAGAATAGAGGAAACCAGCTCTAACATACATTATCTAGGTATGTATACTGGTCAGAGAGCCCATCGTAAGTCCAAGTCGTCGGTAAACGAGTACATTGCTAAGTGAGGAGAGGCTGTACATGCAAAATCTTTATTATCTTCATATTTAAATGTCAGCTCTCATGGCACATAAGTGGGGAAATATTCAAGTTTTCAAGCACAGTTTCATGTTACCTTTTTGTCATATAATTCATGTAGTGTAAGGTTTTATGTCTTATTTTAACTGTAGTTCTGTAATGTTAATTTTCTTGCATGATTTAAACCTAGGTAGTTCTGATTGTATTTTAATGTATTTTAAGTAAAGTATGTGTACTGTACTCCATCAGCATACATGAGTTCTGTACATGCAAATTTGCATGACTGCATGTTTTGTTTTTGTCCTCTTTCCCCATTATCCAAGAATAGGTTTTTTATAAATCCAGGACTCAGGTATATATTATGATAATAACTTGATGGCTCTGAAAACTAAATTTTGTGCACAGTATCATGATGTTTTCCCATGAACTGAGTTTGCAGATCTGAGACTTGCCTGCAATAGTATGGTTATGACTGAGCTGGGCTTCTGGATTTACCTCTTTCATATTCTTATTATATCATAATGTTATGCTGAATGTCTATTAGATATAACAATTTTACACTGTAAAATGCAATGAGTAAAGGGACAACAGCAATCTGCAATGCATACCTCACTTTCCAATTGAAATATAAATTCCATGTCTCTGAATTCAACAACTACACACTTCTGAAAGAAGGAAGGAGTACATTCTGTCCATATATGGGTTCATGCCCTTAAAAAAAGTTTAAGTTGATTTATTTAATCCTTTTGCCAATTTTGTTGCACACTTTTCCCCATTCTATGCCCTCCACTCACCCTTGTGTTGATACACACTTTCACCATCATTCACACTATCACTGTCTTGCCAGAGGCGTGCGGATACGACAGTTTAGATGTCACTCTAAACGGGAAATATCCCAAACCCCTCCTCTAGAGTGCAGGCACTGTACTTCCCACCTCCAGGAATCAAGTCTGACTAACCAGTTTCCCTGAATTTGTTTTGCAGAATATTACCCTGCCCACAGCCTGACTTCTGTGTTGTCCCCAAACTCTCCTCTTTTTTTTTTTCTCCTCCCCCCAAAAAAAGTGACTGCATTTTTCCCAAAAATTATTTAAAGTTACTGTTCCCTCCCATTTTTATTTTCCTCCAATTCTTAATCCCTTTTATGTTCACACACTTTTTTACCTCCCCCAAATAAACTATTCTCCTGCCTTTCCCCAAACACCTTTCTCCTGCACTCCCCCAAACATGCTTTTCTTCCCTCACTCAAACACACTTTTTTCCTGCCCTTCACCAAACATGCTTTTCTTCCCTCCCTCAGACACACTTTTATCCTGCCCTTCACCAAACATCTTTTCTCCCTCCACCAAGCACTTTTCTTGTCCTGTTCTCACCTTTTGCTGAATAACCCACATAGGTTCAGGGTTTTGTATAAATAATAATAATCTGGAGTATCTGAGAGAGTTAGAGCAAAGGAAGGGGTAGCAGTAATGTTAAATGATCAGTTATGGAAGGAGAAAAGAGAATATGAATGTGTAAATTCAAGAATTATGTGGATTAAAGTAAAGGTTGGATGCGAGAAGTGGGTCATAATAAGCGTGTATGCACCTGGAGAAGAGAGGAATGCAGAGGAGAGAGAGAGATTTTGGGAGATGTTAAGTGAATGTATAGGAGCCTTTGAACCAAGTGAGAGAGTAATTGTGGTAGGGGACTTGAATGCTAAAGTAGGAGAAACTTTTAGAGAGGGTGTGGTAGGTAAGTTTGGGGTGCCAGGTGTAAATGATAATGGGAGCCCTTGATTGAACTTTGTATAGAAAGGGGTTTAGTTATAGGTATATACATATTTTAAGAAAAAGAGGATAAATAAGTATACACGATATGATGTAGGGGCGAAATGACAGTAGTTTTGTTGGATTATGTATTGGTAGATAAAGACTGTTGAGTAGACTTCAGGATGTACATGTTTATAGAGGGGCCACAGATATATCAGATCACTTTCTAGTTGTAGCTACACTGAGAGTAAAAGGTAGATGGGATACAAGGAGAATAGAAGCATCAGGGAAGAGAGAGGTGAAGGTTTATAAACTAAAAGAGGAGGCAGTTAGGGTAAGATATAAACAGCTATTGGAGGATAGATGGGCTAATGAGAGCATAGGCAATGGGGTCGAAGAGGTATGGGGTAGGTTTAAAAATGTAGTGTTAGAGTGTTCAGCAGAAGTTTGTGGTTACAGGAAAGTGGGTGCAGGAGGGAAGAGGAGCGATTGGTGGAATGATGATGTAAAGAGGGAGAAAAAGTTAGCATATGAGAAGTTTTTACAAAGTAGAAGTGATGCAAGGAGGGAAGAGTATATGGAGAAAAAGAGAGAAGTTAAGAGAGTGGTGAAGCAATGTAAAAAGAGAGCAAATGAGAGAGTGGGTGAGATGTTATCAACAAATTTTGTTGAAAATAAAGAAAAAGTTTTGGAGTGAGATTAACAAGTTAAGGAAGCCTAGAGAACAAATGGATTTGTCAGTTAAAAATAGGAGAGGAGAGTTATTAAATGGAGAGTTAGAGGTATTGGGAAGATGGAAGGAATATTTTGAGGAATTGTTAAATGTTGATGAAGATAGGGAAGCTGTGATTTCGTGTATAGGGCAAGGAGGAATAACATCTTGTAGGAGTGAGGAAGAGCCAGTTGTGAGTGTGGGGAAGTTCGTGAGGCAGTAGGTAAAATGAAAGGGGTAAGGCAGCCGGGATTGATGGGATAAAGATAGAAATGTTAAAAGCAGGTGGGGATATAGTTTTGGAGTGGTTGGTGCAATTATTTAAATAAATGTATGGAAGAGGTAAGGTACCTAGGATTGGCAGAGAGCATGCATAGTTCCTTTTATAAAGGCAAAGGGGATAAAAGAGAGTGCAAAAATTATAGGGGGATAAGTCTGTTGAGTGTACCTGGTAAAGTGTATGGTAGAGTTATAATTGAAAGAATTAAGAGTAAGACGGAGAATAGGATAGCAGATGAACAAGGAGGCTTTAGGAAAGGTAGGGGGTGTGTGGACCAGGTGTTTACAGTGAAACATATAAGTGAACAGTATTTAGATAAGGCTAAAGAGGTCTTTGTGGCATTTATGGATTTGGAAAAGGCGTATGACAGGTGGATAGGGGGGCAATGTGGCAGATGTTGCAAGTGTATGGTGTAGGAGGTAGGTTACTGAAAGCAGTGAAGAGTTTTTACGAGGATAGTGAGCTCAAGTTAGAGTATGTAGAAAGAGGGAAATTTTTTCCCAGTAAAAGTAGGCCTTAGACAAGGATGTGTGATGTCACCGTGGTTGTTTAATATATTTATAGATGGGTTGTAAGAGAAGTAAATGCGAGGGTCTTGGCAAGAGGCGTGGAGTTAAAAGATAAAGAATCACACACAAAGTGGGAGTTGTCACAGCTGCTCTTTGCTGATGACACTGTTGCTCTTGGAGATTCTGAAGAGAGTTGCAGAGATTGGTGGATGAATTTGGTAGGGTGTGCAAAAGAAGAAAATTAAAGGTGAATACAGGAAAGAGTAAGGTTATGAGGTAACAAAAAGATTAGGTGATGAAAGATTGAATATCAGATTGGAGGGAGAGAGTATGGAGGAGGTGAACGTATTCAGATATTTGGGAGTGGACGTGTCAGCGGATGGGTCTATGAAAGATGAGGTGAATCATAGAATTGATGAGGGAAAAAGAGTGAGTGGTGCACTTAGGAGTCTGTGGAGACAGAGAACTTTGTCCTTGGAGGCAAAGAGGGGAATGTATGAGAGTATAGTTTTACCCAAACGCTCTTATATGGTGTGAAGCGGTTGGGTGATGAATGTTCCCAGCGAGGAGAAGGCTGGAGGCAGGGGAGATGTCATGTCTGAGGGCAATTGTTGTGTAAATTTAAATGAGAGAATTCGTAGTTTGGAAGTTGGGAGGAGGTGCGGGATTACCAAAACTGTTGTCCAGAGGGCTGAGGAAGGGTTGTTGAGGTGGTTCGGACATGTAGAGAGAAGGGAGCGAAATAGAATGACTTCAAGAGGTATCAGTCTGTAGGGAAGGAAGGGGGGGTAGGGGTCGGCCTAGGAAGGGTTGGAGGGAGGGGGTAAAGGAGGTTTTGTGTGCGAGGGGCTTGGACTTCCAGCAGGCATGCGTGAGCGTGTTTGATAGGAGTAAAGGAGACAAATGGTTTTTTAATACTTGACGTGCTGTTGGAGTGGGGAGCAAAGTAACATTTATGAAGGGATCAGGGAAACCGGCAGGCCGGACTTGAGTCCTGGAGATGGGGAAGTACAGTGCCTGCACTCTGAAGGAGGGGTGTTAATGTTGCAGTTTAAAAACTGTAGTGTAAAGCACCCTTCTGGCAAGACAGTGATGGAGTGAATGATGGTGAAAGTTTTTCTTTTTCGGGCCACCCTGCCTTGGTGGGGAAACGGCCGGTGTGATAAATAATAAAAAAAATAATAATAATAATAAAGAAAGAATGCCATTTACTATGGGTGTGAGGCATGGGTTTTTGAATATTGCAGCGAGGAGGAGGAGGAGGAGATAGAGGAGATGGAGGAGATGGAGATGGAGGAGGGGAGATGGAGATGGGATGGAGGAGATGGAGATGGAGATGGAGGGGGAGGAGGAGATGGAGATGGAGATGATGGAGGAGATGGAGGAGGAGGAGATGGAGATGGAGGAGGAGGAGATGGAGATGGAGGAGGAGATGGAGATGGAGGAGGAGATGGAGATGGAGGAGGAGATGGAGATGGAGGAGATGGAGATGGAGGAGATGTGGGGGTAACCAAGGGTTCAGTTCAGAGGGCTGAGGAGGGGCTGTTGAGGTGGTCTGGGCATGTAGAGAGGATGGAAAGGATAGATTTGTGAAGAGGGTTTATACATCTGTGGTGGAAGGAAAGGGTCATTCCAGGAATGGTTGGAGGGAGGGGGTAAAAGAGACTTTGAGTTTTAGGGGCTTGAAAGTCCACCACACTTGTGTGAGTGTGTTAGAGGTAAATGGAGACAAGTGGTTTATAATGGACCTGCTGTTGGAGTGTGAGCAAGGTAACTTTTATGAAGGGATTCAGAAAACCCAGTTAGGCAAACTTGAACTCTTAAGGTGGGAAGGGCAGTGCCTGCATTCTGTGGAGGGTTATGGATGCTCCAGTCAGAGGGTAATCTGATTGTGATGCAAACACACTTTTGGAAAGATGGCAGTTGAATGAATGATGGGGAATGTGTTTTCATCTTTGAGTCATCCTGCCTTTACAGGAGATGACTGTTGAGTTAATAATAATAATGAGACCTGTATCTGTATGTGTATATATACTCAGTAAAGTTTTTCTATAACATTCTCAGCAGATCCAGAATCAAGACAGTGGATCAGAGACAGAGTCAGAACCTATGTTTTCACTGAATGATTCTGAAGAGAAGCCGACCTCACCAGTATCAAGCCATCACCTGTCTGGTATGTTATTTTTTATAGTCAGTGGTGTATTATGAAAAAATGTTAGCACACATAAACAAATGACACTTAAGCATTTTGATAAAGCAGAAGTATGAATATTTATAAATGTTTGTTTTTATTGGTTCATTTAACTCACTATTTTAAACAGTTCTCTGGAATTCTTCTTAAATTTTTTAGTAAAATGATCAGTAACTTTGCTCTAAAATTTTGATTTGCTGTGAAGATTTGATAATAATAATTGTTCAGCTGACAAGTGCAAAACTTTGCAATCTTTATTAGCATTGAGAATTTCTGGAGTAAGTTTTAATTTGTTTCAGAGTAAAGAGGCTGTACTCAGCAGATGTTGTCATTGCTGTAACTATTAATATTAAATGACAAACCTAGTTGCGTCACTGTAAGCAATTTCCAAGTCACTCATCTTTAGAAATTTCAAAATTTTTGTTATAGTTTTATGTTTGAATTCTTCTAACATGTCAGTTGTGATATCAGATATCAGAAACAGGAAATCAAAGAAATTGTTCTAATTATCCTGCAGTGACTTAAAAACAAGTTTTAGCAGTTCTTTTCTAAACCTGCACAATGATGGAAAGTATTATCCTCTGCTCTTAAGACTCGATTTAATACTGAAAAGCAGTTTTCACAAATTATCTTATCCCCTCTAACAAAGAGCTGGAAGAGAAAATGCTGTGTATTGATGGTTAACCTTGGATTCTGTAATGTACTGTAACATACATTAAGCTGTAATTATGCACTCTCATGCCCTCTAATTTGTTATGGATAGTCAGAAGGAAATTCCACAATGCTTTTTTTCTTTTTCTTTTTTGTGTAGTTCCCTAGTTTTTTCTTAAATATTGAAAAGATAACTTTGATTATAGCAGACCACCACGCTTTGCCTTAATGAGTTCATGACAAAGAGATTGGATCGTATGTATATGAGCTCAACTACTGAAACAAAAGAGAGGAACATAAAATTGTGGTTGTCCTCTTCAGGAGAGGACAACCACAATGATGGTTACACTTGTAAAAGGCTCACCTAGCTTGTATATATGTATGTATACATTAAGACCTGGTCTCTGGCTTACATTTTTATTCTTACTTAGTTCTGTTGATCACTTATGTATTTTTTTTTTTTTTAACTATTGTCGTGCAACTAGAAAAGAAATTTCATTGATAATATTCAAGAATGTCTTCCTCAGATTTCATCCCAGAGACCCCAGCAGCTACTAAAACAAATTCAACTCAGATTGACATTGATAGTAAGACATTTGTTCCTGAGTCACCATCAGCCTCGCAGAACACACACATCTCTGAAAATCACACAAAGTTGATAGTGCCAGAATCTCCAGACAATATATCTGCAGTAAAAGTTAGTAATATTATCTTTTCTTTCTTTCATGTTTGGGTTTGATATTCAAATAATTTCAGGATTTCTTGTAATTTACTTTTTTTTTTTTTTTTTTTTTTTTACGAGTCGGCCGTCTCCCACCAAGTTTAAGTGATTAAGTGACCCATTCATTCATTTTTGTAATAAAATATTCTTGGTGTTAGTGTGGGGAAATGTGCAGTATTTTGTGGAGAGTTTGAGCAGAAGGTTGCTGAATATTAATTATTGATAATTAATACCAGATACAGTGGACCCTCGTTTTTCATAAGCATCGAAATTTGTAATTTTCACAAATCATAAAGTTTTTTTTTGGCAAAATATTAACTCACGAATCGTTGTTTGACTCATATACGTAGTCGTTCATCCCAGACGCGTTTGGGCGGCCCCGAGCGGCCCCACACACCATTCACAGTCAGTGTGCCATTGTTTATCAGCAAGTGTGCACGATCCCACACGCTCATATGATACATTTTGTAATACTCCATTCTTTTTCATGCTTGCAACTGCTAAATAAGCCACCATAGGTCCAAGGAAAGCTAGTGCCAGCCCTTTGGTAAAGAAGGTGACAAACACGATAGAATTAAAGAAAAAGATTGTAGATAAATACAAAAGTGGTGGTGGTAGTGATAGTGGTAGAGGACGTGGTAGTGATGGTGGTAGAGGATGGTAGTGGTTGTGATGGTGGTAGAGGGTGGTAGTGATGGTGGTAGAGGGTGGTAGTAATGGAGATTTGTGCATTGTGAAGTAGGATGGAAAGATTTGTGGAGGAACATCACCCTAACAAAGCTGTTGCAAGCTGTGTCGGCAACATGTACAATGACAATGTCTTGTCCCATTTTAGGGAAATATTAAAGAGACTCCAGAAACAGAACTCTCTGGACAAATATTTAGTGCCACAGGTGTGCAGTGACTCTCAGGCTGGTCCTAGTGGCATTAAAAAACAAAGAAGGGAAGTAACCCCAGAAAAGGACTTGGTATCTGAAATCTTTATGGAAGGGGATTCCCCTTCCAAACAGTAATTTCTCCATCCTCTCCCCTCCTCCTATCTTCCATACACTAAAAAGAATCTTCAATAAAGGTAAGTGTCATGTTGTTATTGTTTTATTCTTCATGTCTCATTGTTTTCTGTGTATGTACATCTATATTCATGTAAAAATATTTTGTTTTAATACTTTTGGGTGTCTGGAATGGGTTAATTGAATTTACATTATTTCTTATGGGGAAAATGGTTTCGCAAATCATCAATTTCGCCATTAGTCACACTCTCTGGAATGGATTAATTACGAAAAACGAGGGTCCACTGTACTTGTAGACATGCAAAAGCTCAAAGAGAAATGCCAACAATTATAGCATCCTTGGGATGAGTGTTACAATAGGGAAAGATGAAGAAAACCAGCATCCATTGCAAACAGGTACATCCTTTGACAGTATTATAATTGCCTCATTCACTTGCAGATAAAAAAAAATTAGCAACAGTAAGGCTGAAGGTACTATAATGCTTAGTATCTATATACTGTGGTACCTTGACTTATGAGTATAATTCGTTCCTTGTAACTCAGTTTGCTTGTATACCAAATAAATTTTCCTCAGTAAAATGCCATTAATCCGTTCCAGCAGAATTCCTGGAATGATGAAGTAAAGGGTGTGATAAAAGAGAAAAAAAAATTTAGCTTATGAGAGGTTTTTATAAAGCAGAAGTGTTATAAGAAGAGTAGAGTATATGGAGAGTAAAAGAAAGGTAAAGAGAGTGGTAAGAGAGTGCAAAAAGAGCAGATGATAGAGTGGGAGAGGCACTGTCAAGAAATTTTAATGAAAATCAGAAAAAATTTTGGAGTGAGTTAAACAAGAAAGCCTAGAAAACAAATAGATTTGTCAGTTAAAAACAGAGTAGGGGAGTTAGTAGATGGGGAGATGGAGGTTTTGTTTAGATGGCGAGAATATTTTGAGGAACTTTTAAATGTCGACGAAGAAAGGGAAGCGGTAATTTAATGCACTGGCCAGGGAGGTATACCATCTTTTAGGAGTGAAGAAGAACAGGATGTGAGTGTGGGGGAGGTGCGTGAGGCATTACGTAGAATGAATGGGGGTAAAGCAGCTGGAACTGATGGGATCATGACAGAAATGTTAAAAGCAGGGGGGGATATAGTGTTGGAGCAGTTGGTATTTTTGTTTAATAAATGTATGAAAGAGGAGAAGGTACCTAGGGATTGGCAGAGAGCATGTATAGTCCCTTCATATAAAGGGAAGGGGGACAAAAGAGATTGTAAAAATTATAGAGGAATAAGTTTACTGAGTATACCAGGAAAAGTGTACGGTAGGGTTATAATTGAAAGAATTAGAGGTAAGACAGAATGTACGATTGCGGATGAGCAAGGAGGTTTCAGAGTGGGTAGGGGATGTGTAGATCAAAGTGTTTACATTGAAGCATATATGTGAACAGTATTTAGATAAAGGTAGGAAAGTTTTTATTGCATTTATGGATTTAGAAAAGGCATATGATAGAGTGGATAGGGGAGCAGTGTGGCAGATGTTGCAAGTATATGGAATAGGTGGTAAGTTACTAAATGCTGTAAAGAGTTTTTATGAGGATAGTGAGGCTCAGGTTAGGGTGTGTAGAAGAGAGGGAGACTACTTCCCGGTAAAAGTAGGTCTTAGACAGGGATGTGTAATGTCACCATGGTTGTTTAATATACAGTAGGGCCCCACTTATACGGCAGGTTAGGTTCTAGGCTACCTCCGTAAAGCGGAAATCACCGTAAATTGGAACACCCTTTTTTTCCACTTATAAATGCATACAAATGCTAGATAACAAGTTTACACTAACATATATTAAGTTAGCAATAGAACTAGGCATCAAAAAACAATAAAAAAGTACAATACACTCATAGTGCACTCATTACTTACCTTAAAATATTTGTAGTCTTAATCTAGGGTGAGACAAGTAGTATTTATTGTAAGAAATCAAGTGTGGTATGTATGGTAGTCAGCCGGGCTACCATACCAGGCCACCCCACCTACACATAATATTCTATTTCATTTAAGCATCCCAGAGCGATAAAATGCATATACAGTTTACTCATTATTTACCTTAAAATATTTGTAGTCTTAATCTAGGGTGAGATGAGTAGTATTTATTGTAAAAAATCAAGTGTGGTCTGTATGGTAGTCAGCCAGACTACCATACCAGGCCAACCCACCCACACATATATTCTATGATATTTAAGCATCCCAGAGCGATAAAATATATATACAGTTCACTCATTACTTACCTTAAAATATTTGTAGTATTAATGTAGGGTCAGGAGTAAATAAATGAGATAAAACGAATAAATGAGAGAGAAAGAATGAGTGCATGAGAGAGGACAGGCGCAGAGTTATGTAAACAAACTAGGCGAAGGTAAGTTTTGTAAACAAACAAAGTGTACACGTCTGGTTTGTGTACAAGTTACACTGTGTACAGGTTGCCTCTACATTGATACAGTAGAATAAATAAAGAAGAACACTCCCATTTTCATGTAACATCATTTTGAGAAGAAATGACGCTCTGAGTGAAGGCATTGGAAATAAGTCACTCTGACTTTTTTGGGTTATCCTAGGTTCTCTACACATATACTGTTATGTATGATAATCTTTTTTTTTTTATTATCACACTGGCCGATTCCCACCAAGGCAGGGTGGCCCGAAAAAGAAAAACTTTCACCATCATTCACTCCATCACTGTCTTGCCAGAAGGATGCTTTACACTACAGTTTTTAAACTGCAACATTAACACCCCTCCTTCAGAGTGTAGACACTGTACTTCCCATCTCCAGGACTCAAGCCCGGCCTGCTGGTTTCCCTGAACCCCTTCATAAATGTTACTTTGCTCACATTCCAACAGCACGTCAAGTATTAACCCTTTGACTGTCGAAGGGCCCAATCCTGAAGTTGCTCCTGGTGTCGCAAAATATTCGAAAAAAAAAAAAAATTATTTTTTCTTATGAAATGATAGAGAATCTTTTCCCGATTGTAAAGACACCAAAAAAAACGAAATTTGATGGAAAACTGACGGAATTACGCTCTCGCGAAGTTAGCGACTTCGGCGATATTTAAAAATCGGCAATTTCGCCCACTTTGAGCCCTATTTTCGGCTAATTCCGTTATTCCAGTCAACCAAACTCATAACATTTCTTCAGAACTCTATTTTTTCTATCGATTGAGCACAAGAAACTGCCCATTTACCGATTTCAACTACCCAATAACATGGTCAGAAATTTGCAATTTGGCCAATTCACGAAAATTAAAAAATACGACAATTTCAAAATAAGGTCCAGAATGAACAATGCAGACATTCCTGGCTCTAAAATAAGATTTTCTTTTTTTCATCAGTCATGTCCCCCAGGTCCCTGTGATATTACTCTTGCTTTTTATTTTGAAATTTTATTCAAACAAAAAAAAGAAGATTTACTGTTATGCAGACTACTGCAATACTGTAATAATTGTAAAAATTACATCAACCCATTCATGACTGCGTATTAGAATGGCTATTTGGACATTTATTGGACAATGACATCATTTGTTTACTTTTGAACATCGGCAAAAATCAAACATTTCCTGTACTTTGTGCTCCATTTCCAGGTTCTTTTTATAGTAAAATTAATCAAAATCACCTCCATTTCTATAATATAGTTCCATTCTATCAAATGAGACCATGAAAACGAGAATACAACCACAAATACTATACGAAAATAGACCACAAAGTCGGCATTTTAATTAAAAAAAACGGTCGGAGTTTTTTTTTTCTCATTATGCACTGCGTGCTCCAGGATTTTTTTTATGTGGTGCACACTGACCACACAGACCCATTCTCTCACATGTGGGCCTACTAGCTTTCTCCTGCCTGATTTGAAGCCGCTAGAATTTATGAGTATATATACGTCAAACACGGTACCTCACAAACGTATATATACGGCCGCGACAGTCAAAGGGTTAAAAACCCTTTG